AATTATAATAAATATATAATAAATATATAATAATAAAAATATATAATAAATAAATAATAATTATAATAAATTAAATCAAATTATATCATTTATTAATAAATATTTATCAAATTAAACAAAATATAATTAATATTAATTATATTAAAATTCACCTTTTCTGCTGCTTCTGGATTATTTGGATTTTTATCAGGATGATATTTTAACGCCAACTTTCTGTAAGTCCTCTTAATTTCTTCAGGAGTGGCAGTTTTTGGAATCTCTAAAATTTGGTACAGGGAATCCCCTGCTGTCCTAAAACAAAGAAAATGAATCAATGAATGAATCAATTAATTGTCAATTTCTATAACAATAACTTATTAATTTGCATTATTTTAAAAATTATATTAAAACATGTTTAATATTAAATATATTTTATTTGAATTTATATATAAAACATTAAATAATAAATATAAAAATATAAATTCTGAAATAAAATTAAAATTTATTTTCAAAGTATTTAAAATAATATTTCAAAATATTTAAGGTAGAAAAAGATAAAGATTGAAATTTTATTTAAAAAAATATTGTATAGAATATTTTATTTCTTCATATCAAATATATTATAATGCNTACTTTCTTTATAATTAAAATTTTTTATTTTACAATATTCATAATTAATATTTATATCAATTTTTATATTTAAATGCAAATAATTCATCAAATATAAATTATTTACGTAGAAACATAATAAACCTAATCTTAATGACAATAATCTTCAAAATGTATTACGACATATTCATAAATCAACAAATCAATGTAATAAATACAAATCTTTATTTCAAAAAAAAAAAAAGAGAGAAATTATCAGTTAATAGAACTATTGTCTTTATTTTAGTTAGAAATTATGACATAAATTGAATAAGAAATAAAGATTAAAACATTAAAAAATGAATAGAAGAATAACCTAGAATAGAACTTGTCTGATTTTCTAAAATTTTTAAATTTTTAATATATATTCATTAAATTCGATGAAAATATATATATTAATTACTGTTGAATTAAAAGAATATAATTTTTAAAAAAGGAAATAGTATAAAATTCAAATAAGTTCATATAAGACTGATAAAGTACTCACGACATTTTTCTTTTATCCATGTTTGATGAAAATAATGTTATTCGAGATACAAGAAATAGAATTAATTCGTTACTAAAATATTTCGAACTTTATCGTCTCGTACTACAGGTACATGATTTTCGTCATTAAATGAACAAACGTATTTTTGAATAGATGTTGTATCGGATGATAGCAGGGGAAAGGATTCAATATTTTAGTACTAAAAGTGGACACAGTTGCATCAAACTGGCGCCACTGTGAAAATATAAGAAATATAAATGAACTATAAAACTATTGGTGCATGTTATTTCAACCAAAAATGTCAAAGGAATTGCATATTTTATTAAAATTTCTATTTTTTTTGTAAATCATATTATTAAACTTTATTTTCACATAAATATTACGTATAATTCTAAATCTTTAAAATATTATTATTCAATAATAATAAAAATATTAATATAAAAATAAAAAAGTATGATTTAAGTAAATAAATTTAAAACTTTTAATAAAAGTAAAGAAATTTAAATTAAAAAATTTTAAAACTTAATATTTAGTAGAGAATTCTTTCATTAGACTTAAAATTAGGGCCGTTAGTCTTTTATTGAAAAAATCATCTGTAATAAATTAGACTGTTAACTAATTGTATATATTTATGTTTGTAATATATATATATATTTATATATATATACATATATCCAAATTGAAGAATAAATAAATATATCGATAATCGATAATAAATTAAAAAATCAAAATATCGTGCCGATAATCCTGTCTTTCGATAATAATTTGTCGATAAAAAAGTCAATATTGTTATTATCAGGTAATCGATGATTGTAACGAAAACGATTGTATTTATAAAGCATATCACGTACAGACAAAATTTGATATCATGATAAATTATGATTGTGATAAATTATAAAAATTGTATCATTATCATGAAGTGTAAACAATAATATTGTTTCTTTCAGTAAGTCTATTGTTGAGAAAATCATTTGTAATAAATTAGACTGTTAACTAATTGTATACATTTATGTATGTGATATATATATTTATATATGTATACATATATCCAAACTGGAGGATAAATAAATGTATCGATGATCGATAATAGATTAAAAAATCAATAAATCATTTTTCTATTAATCTTTTTTTTTTGCTATAAGTAACACAATGCTTTCTTGTATAAAATCTGTATTTATAACTTTAAAATAAAATATATAATAGTTATATATATATACTTATTATATATATAATAAAATATATTATATATATATATATACAATTTGAAACAAAAAATATGAGATTTTGAAATATTAAAGAATCGAATTAAAAATATATAAAAAATATTAAAAATATATAGAAGTAGAATAATATAAGATCATACGGAACATAAGCAAAAATTGAATATAACAATTAAATTTAAAAATTTTGAAAATATCAAATGTTATATAAGAAAATTTTATTGTAAACTGTGAAATAAATAATAAATAAATATTATATATCAATGTTTAATACAACAACTATACACGAAAAAAATAAAAAATTGTAAATATAAAATAAACATAAAATATTTCTAATCATATTAAATATTATATATTTAAAAAATTTAATTCATCACCAAAAAGCATACAAATTTTCATTCGTAGAATGACAATGCAATGATATAGAAATAGTTTTCTATCTACTCATAATAATAATAATAATAATGTATACTAATACTCGCAAATAAAACGCGTGAAAAAATTATTTATTAAAAATGTATTTAAAATAATTGCGAATAAATATACATAGACATAACAAATCGAAATAAAGACTTGCAAATATATATTTTAAACACAAAAAATTCGTACTTAAAATACGATAAAATAACTTTAAATTATATAATTGAAATCGAACGTACGTAATTTTAACGCGTGTAAAGCGATACAGCGGTCGAAGTGAAACTGGCTCGTAATTTCTCCCCGCCAAATAATTCAGCAGGCAAAATTGACAATCGAGTCATTAAGCATATCGACAATAATAAAATGTCTTCAAACAAATATTTTAACATATGAAATATTATAATTTTTAATATATAATATTTTTTTAATTTCTATTTTTAATTTTTATATAATATTTTTTTAATTTTATAATTTATATGATATAATATATATAATATATTAATTAATTTATAATATTATAATTTATTCAATTTATTTATTGATAACTTTTTATTAAAATTTTTCACTATTAGTTATAATAACTTATTAATTTTATATTAATTTCGTAATAGTAATTTATTATTTTTAATTTATTAAATTTA